TATGTATGTATATGTATGTATATGTATATGTATGTATATGTATGTATATATATGTATATGTATATGTATATATGTATATATATGTACAATAATACTCATCCAATGCCAGCTCACATTGTTTCACTGCTATGAATTTCAGGAGACGTTCGACTTAATGGAGGTGAAAAACTAAATAGCTGGACCCTTTTATTAATCACAGCAAAGTCCTGTAGTTTTACGTCACATCCTCAGTGCAAGTGGAGAAAATCATGTTGTGTCTTTCAGAAGCTCCTCTGTGCCGCTTCTCCTTCCCCCATTATAATCCAGTGTCTGAGGATTAAGGATGTACCTGTGATTCGTGTTACAACATTCAGCCATTTAAAGCTGAATATTTTTACCAACCAACCACAATTTTGCAAAGATTAGGCCTTTTTTTTGTGGTCTATTTTTGTGAAATGCAGTCTGCCTTTCTAGTGGTACCATGAGCCTGTCTGCCTACTATGTGTCTGTTTCTCTCTCATGTTTTGCAGATCCTTTTCTCAGCAGACGATGAGATGGACGAGTCCGATGAAGACGATGTCCGACGGCTCACCGGCCTGAAGACGGTGAAGAAGAAGAAGAAGCTTCGCATGGGGATCCCCGTTTGACCCGTGTGCCTCGCTGAACTGCTACGATCACATTTCCTCCGGTAGCTGTCGTCCTCCCACACAAACGTTCCCCTCACCTCCACAGATCCAGTGTCAGCGTTGGGAGTTGACCCAATCTTTTCACACATAGGATGACAGAAGAACTGAAGTCCTTTTATTGTTGACTCCTGGAGGACTTCTGCATAAACTAGAGTCTAGCGTGGGAATTTATTTAACACACTGGGAGATATTGTTTTTGGTTAACCAGGTTACATCGGATCACTCCTTGGCTGAGTGTTTTAAAAGAATGGGGAAGAGAATCCCACCATGAACAAACATAACATTGTTAAATCCTTCATGTATGCATAATAGGAAAAACCTTAACACTGGTCTAATACTGTTTGGACTCTTGGTGGCAGTGTGTACCGGGGGGCAATGGTCCAGGATCAGTGACGAATCTAAATGGCCACAACAGAACCAAACAGCATGCAAACAAAACTGTTCAATGGGTTTGTTACATGTGACAGTCCAACGTGTCCTCTGAAGTGATTGTATTCCTGATGTAGATTCCATTTAAACTTTGTGTGTGTGTGTGTGTGTGTGTGTGTGTGTGTGTGTGTGTGTGTGTACAGACACGCCTCTAATTTAGATAGGCATCACGTCAGAGTGCTTGAATCACTGTATTGATGCAACTCCGAACACTTTCCAGTTACACACTGAACTACATATCTTGTGTTGTACTGTTGCTCATGTCAAAGGGAGCACATTAACGCCTGCAGCAACCTTCCGTTTGTATCTCCTGTCCTTTCAACTGTCAAACCTGCAGGACTACAAGTACCACAATGCAACATCCGTCTAATATCAGCTCCGCATGTGTCGTCTCGTCTGTAGACTCAAGACTGCCGTCTCCGTTTGTTGGTGACTGTTTTACTGATGTGCTCTGATCGTGTGTTCTTTGTCTCTGAATGTCTTTTGTCTCATAAGTTGTCGGGTTGTTTTTTTTAATGGTGTGTTTTATTTTTGGGCCAAAAAGGTGACTATGCTTCTTCCAAAAGTGTTCTTTATTCCTGAACTCCAACAGGGAGAGTAGATATGCACAAGTTCCAATTCATCACTGCTTTCACCATTCCTTTTGTGTTTGTGTGATTTTATTTTTGTAACAATAATGTGCCTGAGTGAAATTACCAGCAGGTGTTTTTTTCTTTTTTTCTTGGTTTGATATATATTTTTGGGACTGTTTTATCCAGAGCTCCAGATGTGCAGGCATGAAGCAGCATTCAGCTGGCTCTGATGTTAAGAATGTGACATGCAAAGACCTCGAAACTGTTAAGTGACTGTGGACCAGACAGTCGGGGGAAAGGGTGTGTGTGTGTGTGTGTGTGTGTGTGTGTGTGTGTGTGTGTGTGTGTGTGTGTGTGTGTGTGTGTGTGTGTGTGTGTGTGTGTGTGTGTGTGTGTGTGTGTGTGTGTGTGTGTGTGTGTGTGTGTGTGTGTGTGTGTGTGTGTGTG